TCACCGGCTTCGAGCCCTTCGAGACCGCCCGTCAGATTAATGACTTCGTCAACCACCTCATCGCCCTCCGCAATCGGACGCCTCTCCACGCGTGCGAGATCCCCGCCTACAAGGAGTACGAGGACGACGGCGAGCCGCACCATGACAACAGCGACCGCGACGAGCCCTTCCGGTACACCGATCTGTGGATCCGGTACGCCATGTCGTGCCATGTCCGGCTGCTTCGACTCAGCAACCATGACCCGATGATCTAGACGCCCAACACGAGTCTATGTATATACAGCGTGTTCTGCTGCTGGCTCCCATCGCCTCGCGCCATCTGACCACGTTGGAGCTCGACGGCGTGGCGTTCTGGAGAGAATACCCTCTGGATTTATCGAGCTGTCCCAACCTGGAGACCGTCAAGATGAACCGATGCTCCTCACTGATTGACGTCAATATATCGTCACGATCTGTGCGATGTCTTTGTATCACGCACTACCATTTTTATAGCTATCAGGAGAAACCTCGTGCTCTCATTTATGTCCCAAGCCTCGTCTACTTAGAGCTGACCGGCGGCCGTGGCCTGGTTCCTTCGTTTGAGAGCATGCCTCTGTTGCAAACAGCATGTATCAAGTTTGACTGGACTTCAACTAGGGAAGACAACAATGATGGTTTCTTGCTTCTTGGACGCCTGTCAGATGCCACTAATCTAGAACTCATATCCGAGCCTCAAGCGGTATGTTTTTCACATTGTATATATCCACCGAACCTCAAGTTCTCATTTGACATACGTACATACTATGGTTGTTGAAGCGGCATGTTATTGAACCTACATACTATGGTTGTGCTTGCCCAGCTTTCTTTCAGGAAAGATTTAATGCGGTGCACTGCATTTAGCAAGCTCAAAACCTTGTCACTCAATGATTGGTGTGTAGAGCCTGATTTTGGTCCACTACTCCACTTTCTCCAGAGGTCACCAAGTCTCGAGAAGCTCTGCCTCCGACTATCTAAGGTATATTTGTATGAATGATTTTTAAGTATAACTTGTTTGACTTTTGACCTATTGAAGTTGCTTTTGCTTTGTTGAACCATTTTGGTAAATTCTACAGCCAGATGAACATGCTAAAGAAACAGACGGAAGCTATGTTTCAACTGAACCATTTTTGGCATCGAAGCATCTTAGGGTTGTCAAGATCAGATGTCAGGCAAATGATGAGCGAGTTCACAAAATTTTGAAGGTCATGGTTGCCTATGGAGTACCTCATGAGCAAATCAACGTCAAGGAAGGAAATTGGTCTTCTGAGGGTAAGTCAAACTATAAGTCTTTCTACATTTCGAAGTTTTACATTCCCATCCCTTGTATTTTTGAAGTTTAGCTATGTTCTTTGAAATAATTGGACAGCTAAATGTGTTAATGATATGAATCATGAAAAAAGGGTCTTCTGACAGTATGACAAATTACTAGTCTCGGTGATTTTTTTTTAAATTTAGCAGTCCCATATATATTTATTAAATTTATCAATTTATACTTTTCAAGCTAATTGAACTACCAAGTACCTAAAACACAAGACAAAACTTGATATCTGTTTTCTGTTGTTAAAGTCATGACGTTCTTCTTGCTTCACAACATAAAAATCAAGTGGGGCACTAGTCTTACTAATTCCACTTTCCTTTTAAACTTCCACAGGATCATATGCAGATTCCGAGCAGTCAGACTATTCATATTCAGATACGGATGAGTCGGATTAACATTTGGAACGTTGCTATGAATTTAATTTTCTGCTTCGTCAAAGTACCTTTAGCAAAATTTTCAGTCCTCGAGTTAAGACCTTCTCAATTCAATCCACAAAACTAGAAACATGGGCGCAAATGGGATTTGGTTAGGTGTTGAACATGAAGCTATCTTATTTGCTTTGTAAATTTGGTTCATGGCATATATATGTCCGTTTAATTTTCAGGAACATGTTATGATGTTTTGTGTTACATACCGGGTGTTTCATTTATTCACTACCCATGCTGGTTGGCTTCTGCTAATGGATGGTATGCCTACTAGGCTACTATCCTCATGGAGGTGCATGTCAGGTAATAATGTACTTGAGGACTAATGTTCCGAACATTGGCTCGATGAGTCCCTGTGTTATGTTTTGAATTTTCGCTGCACAGTCTGAATCATCAGCTACACTGCAAAGCAGTTGAGGCTTGCAAAGTGCAAGACTGATATCGCTGGGGACATGGTTCACATTACAACCACCCGAATTTGCACTTATGGCATGTGTTTGCCATAGGCCCTAGCGTGTTAATTTGTGTCTTAGAACGTAGCCGCACTTTGGGATTGTGTTTATCATAGTTATAACTTCGGCGTGTTGGTTAGTGCCTTAAAGTGAAGTATAACTCTTACATTGGTTGTGGTATTTGAACCAGATGAGTTGGTGCAGGCATGCTAAAAAGATGAAAAAGATAATTCAATGACCCCATCTCTAAAAGTTCTCTAGACCGGAAATATGTGTGAATTTTGACCGTAGGACTGCATCTTATCACTTGCACCGGCTAAGAGAAACAGTTTACTTTCTTGAGAGCTAATTTTGCATACACACTCACACACCACCTACATGAAGAAGTCGCAGCACATGCCTTGCTGTCAACAAACCCACAGAGAGAATAGTTGCTTCGGTGTGACACTCTCTCGCCCTAACTCCATGGAGCGAAAATTGAGAAGTTGGCAGGCGTCCAAGTTGCAAAACGGAGGAATTGGAGAAGCTGGCCTTTCCCGGATATGTAAAAATGAGGAGCAAGAGCAGGGGCGGAGCCAGCTATGTGGCGAGGTTTGGCAGGCGCCATACCTAAAATTTGGCAAAAATACTACGTATATATACTATACTTGTCTGAAGATTTGAGCTAAGTTCAGTTTCGTCAGTTTGGAGGAGGAGAACACTCTCAGAGGCGCGTCGAATTGCCCATGGCCCAATTATCCTCCCAGCAGCCCACCTTGCTGCATGTAGCCCAGCTCCAGCCTCTAGTAGTCCAGTTACGCTACAAATCGAGCCCGCTGATGGAAATCATGCAGAGACACAGCCGCAATTATGGAATAGGAGCACGATCTAGCTCTCGGTTACGGGGATTCCGGCGGCGACCATGCTCGGCGAACGCGGGGGCGGCGGGTGGCACTGCAGCGAATTAGGTGGCGAGTGACACACCCGCGGCGCAGACCCAAAAGCGACGAGCTTAATGCCTCTATGTGCCAACGACGGCGAGGCCGGAAGCAATGACGTCAGGTCAGGATCCTGGCCGTATTGGTTCTAAAATTTCGTACTTCCTGTGTCCATTTTTTCAGTCCATACACTAGTAAACATCATTTCTTTTTTATAAATTTGATTAGTTGTTTTTTATGGGAATTAGTTGTTCTGTGATCTATGATCAGTGAATTTGTTTTTCTGACCTATGAAGTAAGTTGTGTTAAAAAAGGAATCTACTATGTAGTAACTAGAGAGATTAATAAGCAATTTTAGATTTTTTTGGAAAAAAGCTTCAAAGAACACTAATTCAACACCGACAAATGTTTATGTTTTGCAGTTAACGATTTGTGGAACTTTATGTTTTCGATTTTCATTCTAGACTTTGAATACCCATTGAATGTGGCACTCCGCACAGCTACTCTCCAAACTCGCGAGCCTGCATAGCTTCATGTGATTATTCCTTGGTTCCAACCCGCCGTCCCTAGCCGGCTAGGTCCTAGGGCAAGTGCCAGAAGATCGAGTAAGGCATCGATCAAAGAGCAACCGTGTGAGGTTGCAAGTGCCGGGCCGGGCATGGCAGCGGCCACGGGCGGGCGAGGCAGAGCGTGAGCGGCACATAGTTATACTGTACATTGGTCTTTTCCTCGTGAAATCCGCCACACCTATAAATTATTCCTGCCTTCGCCACTGAGCAAGAGTTGCGCAATATGACAACTAAATGCTACCGCCAAGTGAGTATAACATACCTGTTTGTCTAATTGCTCTCTCTGCTCGTCCTTTCTCTTATGATCTGAGTGACTCATGCTCCCTACCTTGTGTGCCGTGTCCGACAGTTGCTGTCAGTTTACCATTTTGCACCGTTCCCTTCCATCTAGGACCCACTGCTTCGCCACGTCAATGCAACCTCGACGAGACTCGGTTGACTATTCCGGTCAATATGGAGCCCATCGTTGAGGCCATAATTTCCATTCTGCCACTCCCATGTAGGCCCACCAATATTAACGAGACCCATTTGACCATGTTGGCCAATGTGCGGGCCCTCCGTTGAGGCCATAATTTCCAATTACATCCACAACGAGATAGAGAGCATTGTCAACTCTGCAACTTATGAAACTCTCTCATTAACCTACTTGCATCACAGAGGCTAATCGTAATCCTACACTCTCCCGGATCTGAATATAAACCTGTAGCACAAGCTTAAATGAAGGCGGGACGAGAATCAAGCTGCAAATGCAGCAAAACAAGTATACAACTTACCATAATTATGTGCTCTGTTGGATGTCACCTCTGCAGCAAAACCACAAATATGTTATGGCTAAACAATCTTCCAGTATCATTTCCATTAAACAGACGGCCAACCATTAAAAGAGTGCTGAAAACAGGAAAATATGTGACAGGCTAAAACAAAAGGCTTAGAAACCAAATCTTGAAAACCAAACTGCTTATTACTGGACACCAGACACCCCCTTTTATCTAAAAATTACTGGACACCAGAAGAAACAAGGTGCAGAAGAGAAGCACATGATGCCAAAGATCACAGTCCAATCCTGATCATCGTTGGAAGTAGGATTGTACAAGTTACATCAGCCTCACAAATGCTGAAAAAGTCTTAAACAAGTTACTCGAATAGTTCAGTCTCACAGACATTGAAAACAAGTTATAGAATTAAACAAGTTACAAAATTTCAGTCTCAGAGATAGTGGACACAAGTTACCCAAGTTCAGTCTCACAAAAGTAGGCTCCGCTGAACCGACAACCCCACTACAAAGCGATAAAGTTGGTGCCCTAGTCAAATGAACAAGCTTTTCCATGCTGCAGGAATTTCATACATATTCTTGGCCTAGAGAAGCTTAATAGCTGCTGGCGAAGCTCTTTGGCCTTGCTTTCAGTCATTGAAACACGAAAATTTACTGTCATCCTCTTTAACACTGTTGTCCAGTTGAATAACCTTTTCACAAAAGCGAGTTCATGTTCAGTTCCTCTCAGGCCACTGATTACTACTTCTTTGAGGCAATGGAGGACGAGTTCCTTAGTTTCCCAGTTCGATGGCTCGGCACAAATGCAACCTGATTGGCACACAGAAGCGAGTGCCTGAAACGAGAGGCATATCAAGTAGAGATAAGAAAGATGAAACTACGAAATAATTAGACTGCATGGATACTCTTAAATATGTCCAAAACAAAATTTACAAAAGAAAATGAAACAGATAAATTAATTTGGAGCCAGCAAATTGCAGAAAGTATAATTGCTCTATGCATATAAGAAATCATACGACCAATATCATTATAAATCTTACACAAACTGTCATGTATTGTGCTATCATCAACCCGTACAAAAGAAGTTTTTTATTATTTCTGAAGAAGATCAAAGGAGGGTCCAATTTCTTTTCTGAAAATAAGACCCCATCAGTTTATTTTGGCATTTCCAACAGACTGGTAATCTTTTCTACTAACAAAACTTACTACAAAGCCACGAACCCAAGTAGTAGTATATTAATTACTTCGTCAAGCTTGATAAGCAACACGTCAGTATCTAACCCTGACCAACAAGAGTAGGCCATCTCGTCACTAGGATTTGCCACAAACTAAGAATAGTGTTACCTCGTGTTCGCTCGGCAGGTCGACAAGTCTAATCTCCAGCTCTCTTACGCCACTAGACATACTGAGAACATGGAATGAGCTGGCTCCAAAGGAATGACTACATGCCACTACATTTAGTGTCAAGCTGGTAATGTTAGGAAAGTTTGTCATCTCCTCCATCAAGAATCGGCCGTTGACTTGAAGCTGTTGGATCACATGAGGTCATATAAGGATAGCGACAGAAACATCTCATTTTTCTACAAAGTGACTAGCTAGATAGTATTTTGTGTGCATTGATGTGAATTTTCAATTTTGTACGTTTTCTTAGATATTCCACACAACATATTCTTAATTAAGTTTAACACCAAGTTTTCTTATAATCTCTATTGGCTTGCTAGAATGCATGTTACAATAATCGCATAACTCAAATAAGAATAAACTCACCGGTGCATAGACAAGGTAGAGAACAAGTCTCCTGATGTGGTCAAAGCGCTGCAGAAGCATCAAGCAATGACGATTATGTGCAGAAAATACATATTGTCCATATACAATTAAATATTGCGTTGTCAGCTGTTGGAGATGTGCCATCTCGCCAAGCTGGACAGAGCTAGGATCATAAGAACTCTTCCAATCAAGCGTCACCAGCTGAGGGGCTGAGATGTTGGCAATGTGTTGACCCCGATTGAGAGCATCAGTGAAGCAACCCCGTACTGCTAAGTCTTTCAGAGCCAGTGCAACGACATTGAGCTGGTGCAAGCCAGGGAGACCACTCAGCACCAATTCTAGGAGAGACTCTGAGTGGATTGTGAACTTGTCCAGACCCTTGACACTGCTGACGACAAGCCGCTGCAAAGATGGACACCGTGATGAGGAGACGACATCACTGATGCTACACGGACCGTGCAGATGGATGCTAGTCAGCACCAGCTCGGCGAGCCGGGTAAATATGCCGGAAGGCGGCAGGGTGAGGCCGATAGAATCTAGATCAAGCACGACCTTGGTTGCGTTCTGAAAGCAAGGCAGCTTCAAAGGAGAGGCGGCGGAGGTCTCGTCCATGGTCCCCCTGTTCCTGAAATCTAGGACACCGGAGAGGCGACAGGCGTCGATGGGGAGCCATGCCGCGACGGATTCGGGGGTGGCCTTGATGGCGGCAACGGAGAGAAGGCTGATGGCCGGCGCATCATGGACGGCGAGGGCGGCGCGTATGCCGTCAGAGTCAGTGCCATCGGGGAAATGGAGCTCCGGCAGGAGAGCCCAGACGCGGCGCCAGCGGCGGGCAAGGACGCTGGTCCGAGCGGCGACGGGGGCGTCCTGGAGCTTGAGGAGGATGTGGATGAGGAGGTCGTCCGGCAGCGCGCTGAGCCGGTCGTCGCCACCTCCAGCGGAGACACCGGCGGCGTCGGAGAGCTTTGGCCGCCGATGCGCCGGCATGGGCTGCATGGAAACAAGAGCAGAGGGATGCGGTGCCGGTGGCTGGGGATGGGAAAGGGAGTCGTGATCTGATGGAGGCTGAACTCAGTCGATTTTTCCTTTTCGTGGGGACTTGGGGCTAGGGTTTTCATGGATCGGGGATTGGGACCGTCGATTGTGATCTCGATCACGGCCTCAACAATATTTCTCTCCCCGTAATACATGCACAAGAAACAATATTAGTCTCTTTTTCTTTTCTCTTTTTTTAGATAAAAAAGAAAGAAAGAAAGGGACTACATTAGTCTCTTTTTCAATGCCAAGAAACAATCGAGATTGAACTAAACTGAAATAAGTGCACCAACAAATCCAGAAACACATGTACACCCACGTGAGAGACACATGTACACTTCGGAAGAAACGAATGTACTCGGCTTGGTGAAAGGGACCCAAGGTGGCGGCCTATTAGAGGATTGTGTCCTGGGTTGGTTATTGATGGTGCTATGTGTTTACAATATGGTGATGATACCCTTCTGCCTGCTTTGAACCCGAAATGAGTATTAATCTGTTCTGAACTAGTTTTTATTAGTGAGAGGAGATAGGTTTTTGGTATATTTTTTCCAGTGTGTGGTCAGTGAGTTTCTCATTAAATACTTGGAAAACCAACTACACCGAGGAATTACAATTTCTGATTGATAAAATCCTAACTAGGATTGCTCGATGGAGAGGCAAGCTTCTTATTTAGGAAAGATTACTCTTGGGAAGTGTTATTAGCTAGAGGTTGAGCGAACCAGCCCTCCCTCCTAGGGTTCCTGCGTCGCCGCCGGCTCCCCGCGCGGAGCCGCCGTCACGGCCGGAGCCCGCCATTGCCGCTAGCCCTCTCCCACTCCCCCACCCCCTCCCACCCTCATACCCCCCGCGCTGCCTCCCCGAGCGAGGCGACCGGGGGCTCCTTCCCCGTTCCCCTCCAGCGCTCCCCCTCGCTCCTCCCTCCTCCCGACGCCACCAGCGAGCGCCGTTGGGCCTTACCCGCGTGGTGCTGGCGGCGGCAGGTCTGCCCTTTCCCGCGCGCGGCCTCGCCTGCTCGAACGGTGGTGGCTGGCGGAGGTGCCCTTCGGCCTGCGGCGGCAGTGCCGCAGGCCACGGTGGCTCTCGGCGCGACGATGCGGTCGTTGACCGTGGGGCGGCGCGGTGGCGCTTGTGGCCAGCGGCGCCCGCCCAGCCCAGATCTAGGCCCTTTTGGGTCCATCTGTTGGAAATATGCCCTAGAGGCAATAATAAAAGGATTATTATTATATTTCCTTGTTCATGATAATTGTCTTTTATTCATGCTATAATTGTATTATCCGGAAATCGTAATACACGTGTGAATACATAGACCACAATACGTCCCTAGTGAGCCTCTAGTTGACTAGCTCGTTGGTCAACAGATAGTCATGGTTTCCTGACTATGGACATTGGATGTCGTTGACAACGGGATCACATCATTAGGAGAATGATGTGATGGACAAGACCCAATCCTAAGCATAGCACAAGATCGTGTAGTTCGTTTTGCTAGAGCTTTTCCAATGTCAAGTATCTCTTCCTTAGACCATGAGATCGTGTAACTCCCGGATACCGTAGGAGTGCTTTGGGTGTACCAAACGTCACAACGTAACTGGGTGACTATAAAGGTGCACTACAGGTATCTCCGAAAGTGTCTGTTGGGTTGACACGGATCAAGACTGGGATTTGTCACTCCGTATAACGGAGCGGTATCACTGGGCCCACTCGGTAGTGCATCATCATAATGAGCTCAAAGTGACCAAGTGTCTGGTCACGGGATCATGCATTACGGTACGAGTAAAGTGACTTGCCGGTAACGAGATTGAACGAGGTATTGGGATACCGACGATCGAATCTCGGGCAAGTAACATACCGTCAGACAAAGGGAATAGTATACGGGGTTGCTTGAATCCTCGACATCGTGGTTCATCCGATGAGATCATCGAGGAGTATGTGGGAGCCAACATGGTTATCTAGATCCCGCTGTTGGTTATTGACCGGAGAGCCGTCTCGGTCATGTCTGCATATCTCCCGAACCCGTAGGGTCTACACACTTAAGGTTCGGTGACGCTAGGGTTGTATAAATATGAGTATGCAGCAAACCGAATATTGTTCGGAGTCCCGGATGAGATCCTGAACGTCACGAGTTGTTTCGGAATGGTCCGGAGGTAAAAAATTATATATAGGAAGTGTTGTTTCGGCCATCGGGAAAGTTTCGGGGTCACCCGGTATTGTACCGGGACCACCGGAAGGGTCCCGGGGGTTCACCGGGTGGGGCCACCTATCCCGGAGGGCCCCGTGGGCTGAAGTGGGAGGGGAACCAGCCCCTACACTAGTAGAAAAAGGGTCAAATGTGAAGCACAATAGTGCCGGTTTGAATTTCAGCCGGCACTAATGTGTACATTAGTGCCGGTTCGTGGCGGCGATCAATAGCACCGGTTCGTGGCGAACCTTTAGTACCGGTTCATGCCACGAACCGGTACTAAAGAGGCTGTGTCAGCCTGCGGTCAGGCTATGGCCCCACCATCACCATTTAGTGCCGGTTCGTACCACGAACCGGTACTAATGAGGTTATGTCAAGCTGTTTTTAGTCCCACCTCGCTCCCCTAACAAGCCTTTTACCACCTTAAATATGTTATTTCTCAAACTATCACAAGCACTTGGTCTTCATTGAACTCTATGTGTAGAATTTGTGGCCGCAATATGAGTCTTCATCGGTTTATAAATCGTTGATGACTCATATTGACAATTCAGATTGTACACACAAAGATCATTGATGATCAAAGTATTTTTGATGTTATAAGATCATATTGACAATTTAGACTGTAAAGAAATATAAGATCATGATCTAAATGCTCTTATATTTTTTGCGTTCAGTATGCACCAACTGCTAGGCGGGAGGAGCTGTTTAGTACCGGTTCGTGGCGAACCTTTAGCACCGGTTCGTGCCACGAACTGGTACCAATGAGGTTGTGTCAGGTAAGGCTGGGGCCCCACGAGCATCTTTAGTACCGATTCATGGATGAACCAGCACTACAGTTTCTTAGTAAGCTGTTTTTTAGTCCCACCTCGCGAAGAGAGAGGGACTAGGAGCGGTTTATAAGCCCTGAGTGCAGAGACGATGAAGAAGAGGCTCAATGCTCACGTTGCTTAGCCTCAAGCCTTCAGGAATATGGTACACTGCACGGAGCTATGCGCAGTGCAGTTTACACTATTCCGAAAGGCTTGAAGCAAATTAACGAGCATTGCACCTCTTTTTTATTTTTAATAACTTATTACAACTCCGGACTTATTCTGTTATGGCAAAAACTAATTGCACGTCGGCATTTCTTTTTTTTAAACTTTGGTTATAACTCCAGACTTTGACCATCAAGTTTTGCAGAAAAGAAAAATAGCAGGAAAAAATATATAGCTGAAAAGAAAAAACTATATAAAATGACCGTGAAATTGAAAATCACTACAAAATGAACTCTGAAAATGTTGAATTTTGGCAAACTAGATGAAAAACTACTCAGAAATAAATAGAAGAAAATAAATATAACAGAAAAGAAAAAACTATACAAAAAACTACGCAGAAATAAATAGAAGAAAATAAAGCAGAAAAGAAAAAAACTATAAAAAAAAATTGGGGCGCTGCCCTGTGGGCCTGCTAGGCCACGGGCGTGCAATTACAGGCCTTAAAGGCCCAGCAGACTCACAGGGCAGCGCGCAGAATTTAGGCCCACAAGCCTGCTATATAGAGGAGTTCAAAGAGGTAGCCGCGGCTGGGTTTATAAACCAGTGCGGCTGCCCTTCGCCCGGCGAGGTGGGACTAAACTTTGGGGTGGCAGCGCGAGGCCTTTAGTATCGGTTGGTGGCTACAACCGGTACTAAAGATCACCCTTTAGTACCGGTTGGATCCACCAACCGGTACTAAAGGCCTGCTCTTCCCGCCTCTTGGCCTGGCCAAAGTTGGCCTTTAGTACCGGTTGGTGGCTACAACCGGTACTAAAGGCCCATCCTATATATATAGCACTTACGAAAATTTCAGTTACATCTCCCCACTTTCGTCTCCAACCTCTCGACATCGCTGCGTGCCGCTCGATCCCGTCGTCGCCGCCCGTCGCCCGTCGTCCGTCGTCGTCGTCGCTGTCCCCGCCGCCGCCCGTCGTCGTCGTCGTCTCGCGCCGCCGCCCCGAACGCCGCCGCCGTCCGTCGTCGTCGCCGCGGTCCCGTACGTCTCTCGCACCCGCGCACCGGCGCCCCCGCCCCGTACGCCGCCGCCCTCGCCCCGTACGCCGGCGCCCCCGCTCGTACGTACGGGGCGGCGTACACACACATACACACATATACACACACTACACACATACACACACACACATTTTTTACTTATTTTCTGTTTTCTGTTTTCTGTTTTTTAGAAAATTTAATTAGATATTAATTAGCTAGGTATGTGAGATTTGAACTAGTTGAATAATTAATATAACTAGTTTATTTTTAGTAAGAAAATTGTCGAACTAGTTTATTTAGGTATATGAGATTTGAACTAGTTGAATAATTAATATAACTAGTTTATTTTTAGTAAGAAAATTGTCGTATCTGAGATTTGATTATCTAATTAAAATATCATTTGTTAATGAGTTTTTCTGTTTATTTAATGTTTTTATATATTTGAGTTTATATAAATGTTAGATTAATGTCGAATGTTAGATGAATTAGATAGAAAAGTTAATAGAACTAGTTTATTTTTAGTAAATGCTTAGTTGAACTAGTTGAATTAATATATAGAACTAGTTTATTTTTAGTAAATGCTTAGTTGAACTAATTGAATTAATATAACTAGTTTATTTTTAGTAAATGCTTAGTTGAACTAATTGAATCAATATAACTAGTTTATTTTTAGTAAATGCTTAGTTGAATTAATAAAAATAGTTGAATTAATTGAATTAGTAAGTGTTTAATGTTTCGCCTAATATGAACATAGGAAATGTCGTCTGACGATGGAAAAA